CCAAGAATTAAAGAAGGATAGCAACTTACTTGTAAGCATTGCTTCCAAGACTACTACCAAGAATGCCCATACTACAACCTTCTTGAAGCATAATGTACCCAAACATGTGGATGCAACCAGAAAAAAGTAATGAACAAAAGAATTTACTAATGGGAAATACTTGAAAACAAATCATACCAAGAAGTATACAACTCACCAACCTATCATTGCTGTAGCTGCTAGCGACCTATTAGAAAAAATGACCATTTCACATTAAATGACTTTGAAGTAATCAATGCCGATAATGTAAAGAAATATTATAAAGAAATATTACTTTGCAAAACATGTTACCATACCCAATTCGAAGAATTAGAAATCGATGATCCAAAAGCAGAAAAATATTACAAAAAAGAAGGAATTAATAAACTAACCGAATGCAACTTCTGTTGCAAACCAATTAGAAAAAAACAAGGCTACCAACTCTGGAATACAGGACAATATATGTGTTGCCCAGAAGAAATGAACAAAAGAATTTACTAATGGGAAATACTTGAAAACAAATCATACCAAGAAGTATACAACTCACCAACCTATCATTGCTGTAGCTGCTAGCGACCTATTAGAAAAAATGACCATTTCACATTAAATGACTTTGAAGTAATCAATGCCGATAATGTAAAGAAATATTATAAAGAAATATTACTTTGCAAAACATGTTACCATACCCAATTCGAAGAATTAGAAATCGATGATCCAAAAGCAGAAAAATATTACAAAAAAGAAGGAATTAATAAACTAACCGAATGCAACTTCTGTTGCAAACCAATTAGAAAAAAACAAGGCTACCAACTCTGGAATACAGGACAATATATGTGTTGCCCAGAAGAAATGATAGCATTCATGGTCTATGCAGAAATAACTGACAGACCAACATACCACACTTACTAATGAATCTACCATAGAACAAGATATGGTATACACGCAAGTAAAAGTATCAATGAATTAAAAATTTATAGACTAATTGCTTTAATTAAAGAAGAAGAAACTTTACTCGATAAGGAAGGAATTCCTAAACAATATAACTGCAAAACAATACTTTTACAAGAAAAAGAAAGTAACACTATTAATGAATGGCATATAATCTATTACAAATGATCAGAAATGATTACATTATCTTATGATGAATTGGATA